GAACCCAGCCAGAGTAGATCTGCCCTGGCAACAGTGGTACCCTCATTGAGGCTAGCCTTTGGGCCCTACCATACCCACTCCAAGATCCTGGAGAGGATATGGGTCCTGAGTCATCCCTCTGATTCTGATAGTTATTCTGGCCTTCTAAGGAAGCCCTTCCCTGCCAAAGTCTGAGCCCCAGCACTTTGGTCAGATGGCACTCAGAAAACAATACCCCCCCCAAAAAAAAACAATACCCCAAAGTGAAAGCCTCAAAAGCCCAGTTTCTATCTGACCTTTTCCTGTTCTCCTGTCTCCTGCTCCCCCCACTCCTCTCACCCCAGGAAACCCATAGAACCAGAATTTCTATTCCCCAAGGCAAGTCATAGAAACTAGAACTCCTTTCCACAAAGCAAGCCATAAAGCCTAAAAATGTTACTCTAATTTTTGCCTGCCTGACCATAAAGAAATTCTCTGACCTACCTTGTCTGATAGATCACACTCTCATTTCAGAAGGGTCCTGTACCACACTCAAGAGAAAGGAAAGAGTCATAAAGAGGTCAAGTAGAATCTGAATAGACAAGCCTTGCTGGGTTTCTCCAATCTAGGCACTGGATCATATCCTTTTGTCCAATCACACTTTGTTTGGCTGGCCTGGAACTCAAGGTGATCCCCCTGCCTCAGATTCCCAAGTGCTGGGATTACAGGTGTGTGCCACCACACCCAGCTCTGTCCCATCATATTGTTACTTGGTTGTCTATGCTTCATCCAACCCAAACATAAAAATGGATAGTTCACCCTAGGGTCTTTGCAGCTTCAATCTGAAGGCCTCCATGTCACATAAATTATGATCAAATAACTTATTATGCTTTTTCTCTTATTACCTTTTTGGTATAGGCATACAACTTTTTGGTAAAGGGTGCCATGACCCTTTACAATGGGCTAGAAAGGGATCAGCCCCTTTTGACCCTACATCTTCAGTCAACAAACAAGATCTTATTAGTTTTTAAATATATCCTCTAAGCTCTAGTAGAAAGGGACAACTCCCTAAATGGGCCCTGATGATCTCTTTCCATCTCGTGACCCTTTCAGCTCACCAGCCCACAGGGCCTGCTGGAATTCTCCGGTCCCATACCTCTGCTGAGGCCAATCCCTGTTGTGAGCCCTCTGCACAGATTATGACTTCTACCTCCTTTAAACCTACAACTACCAGCTCGACCATCTGGCCTTACACTGCAGACAGACTGGTGTACGTGTCTTATCTGCCTCCCAGAGTGCAGGAACTTGCTCATTGTTGTCTACTCCACAACCCCCAACATAATTCCTGATTCAAAAAAAAAAACAGACTTTTTAAAAACTTTTTTTCCCCTAAAGGCAAGGTCTTGCTATGTAGCTTAGGCTGGCCTTGAACTCATCATGATCGTGATCGTCCTGCCTCAACTCTTCTCGAATGGTGGGATCACAGGCATCTGCTACCACACCTGGCTTGCATCAGAGTTCTTGGGACAAATTACGCCAAAGGACAATTACAGGTTTGCTGGACAAGACAGCAAGTGACTAAAAGCATGGGGTGTAATGTCAGAAAGATCTGGGTTCCAATCCCAGATCGTGCTACTAGCTTTCTGAATTTAGACATGTTTTATAAATCCTCTAAGTCTCAGTTCTTCACCTGTGAAATGTCAACAAGGATGCCAACCTCACAGCATTGGTGCGAGGATTCACTAACAAGTGAGAACATCTAGCCCTGTGCCCAGCTAGCAGTAAGTGCCCAATCAACAGCAGTCATTATTGGAGCTACCCTATTAGTAGCAACTGGCTCAGCAAATGCTCAGCAAGAGGGTTGGAATCAGGAGTCCTAGGACTGCTGTGTGACCCACAGTGCATCTCTCTGTCCCTCACTAACCCTACCTGAGTCTTTATCTGCCTCCTATCTGTATCTACTTCTAGGTCTAAAAGTACCCCTTATTACAGGCGTGGTGGCATAAGAGATCAGCCTGGGCTACATAGTGAGTTCAAGACCAGCCTGGAATGTGTATTAAGACCCTGTCTCAAAAGATATAAATCAGTCATCAATCTACCTGTCATGGCTTGTGAACAGAAAATGTTTTACAAAGCATAATAGGATTCCTCTGCTTGTCTAGATTCCAGATTCCCAAGCACCCTGTCTAGTGCGTGGTCATGGCGGGACTTTACCTGGCAGGCACCCCAACCCACTAGGTCTGGGAGACACAGGGGATAGCAGGGCCTGGCACAGCCTCTGCTTCACTATGTCTAGAAACCACCCTTTCCCAAACCCTTGCTTCCTAAGAGTCCTGCTTGGCCATGAGACCTTCCTTCAAAAAACAATGGGTTATGTAGGACTGGAAAATGACAGAGGTCACAGTGGGGCTGGCGGCTCAGGCACCACAAGTCAACCCTCTCTTTAACCTAGCCAACCCTGCTTGGGCAGCATTAGAATGAAAGAAAAGGGCCAAATTAGTGCAGCTGCCAAAACAAGCCTGGGTGAGGAAGTAAGGTAGAAAGAAGTCTCTTAAAACTTTACATCTGCCCAGATTAATTTGTCACTCACTGTAATGGTCCCAAACTAGTAGTTTTCAAAGTGCCCCAAGGAGCTGGGTAGAAATGTAAATTCTACCTAGGTGCCAACCAGACTAACTGAATCAGAAAACTGGTAGTGTGGGCCAGCAATCTGTGCCTTAACCAGCTGTCTAGGTAATTCTAATGCCTGGTCAAGTACCTCTGCCTTGAACTTTCAATTATGGGATACTCTGCTTTAATTTAAGCACTGAACACCTACTATGTGCAGAGGACTGAGCAAATGAGGGTATTTCAGAAATGAGGACATATTTGAAGAGCTTCCAGTCTAACAAGGGCCAATATCAAGTACACAAATAACAGGAGAACAAGGCAGAATGTGGTACAGAGCAACACAAAGGAATCTGCTTCCCACCCTTCTCCCCCAACCGTACCCTCCAGATCTCATGCCATGAGAAGAGAATACCAGGTTTAGTAAAGCCAAACTGCTCACCTCCCCTGCCCAGAAACTCCAATCCTAATGGTTCAGATTTCTCAATCCCAGGTGGCACTCTTAGGGTCCTTACCAAGCCTTGGCGGGTGTGTGTGTGTATGTGTGAGTGTGTGTTTCCACTAGACCACACCTGGTGGTTCTTAGGGTGCTTCAGATTGGTTCTCTCCGGAGTTTGGGCTCTGAAAGTGCCCAGGGGCTGGTCAGCACCACAGCACATCAGCACCGTAGCACCTCACAACAGTGCACTCAGGGCAGGGTCACTCCCACCGCCCCTGGCAAGCTTGCAGTGTGCAGATGCAGACATAAACACACACAGACTGTTGGCCCCCTGGCCTCCCTTCCTCTGCTCTCAAGTTACAAGGTTAAAAGCATCCTATTCACAGCCAAGGGGGAGGGCTGGGACCAGGGTGCTGAAGCGAAGAACCATCTGGTTCAGATCAAGACTGCTCACTCAGGACCCCTCCAAACTCAACGAGTGCATCCTCCCTTCCCAAGGACTCCAGATTTCCCTCCCTCCCTTCTCCCCTTCCTGCCGGCAGACCAGGGGTTGGGGTAAAAGCGTCGAAGATGACAAAACAAAAAATTAACTATAAAGGCAAGTCTGCTCCCTCTCTCTGAATCCTTGTTATCTTTCCCTTCAAATTCTCAGCACCAGAACTAAACTTGAGATTACCGCCTACAGATACTTCGGCTTCCTCCATAAAGTGCTCAGAGCACCTAGCAGGTAGCCCTCTTCGAAAAGGGCACCCCTCCAAAGTTAGCAGCAGAAGCCACATGAGGCTTAGGGGTGTGGTCCCCTTATGCCACACTGTGTCCATAAAGAGAGCCAATCCTTTCCGTCTCTGAGGGACTTCCAAGCCCACCAGACATAAGAGGAAGGGATGGCCACCCAGGTTCCAGACATCTGTCCCAAAGACATAGCATGACTGTGAGTTACAGCCTAGCAATCACTGTTTCCCAGGGGCACAAGGGTGCCCTGAACATCCCTCACTCAGCAGCTTTGGCTGAAAGAAGCTGCAGGTCCCTTTGACCACCAGTACCTCTCTCTCCCCCAGTCCCACCTTAGACTCTTTCTCCAGTCCTTTGCAAAGCTGGGAGGCAAGAGCCAAGATGGGAGATGGATGCAGTTGGCAAGGGATAGAAAACAAAAGGCTAAGTCGAGCAAGCAGCAATGGGTGGGTGCCTCCTTCCCCGGCACAGAGGACCAGAGCCGTTATGCAAAGGAGAGGGCAACAGATGTGGTAGCAAAGATACAGGGGAGACTAGAGTGAGCTCAGTCCAGAGCTACACCAGGGGCTGGGAAGTTTGGACCAGTAACAGGGGAAAGACTGTAGGGAAGAAATGAGTCTTCCATCCCAAGGCATGGGAAGAACAAGAGACAAGGGCCGGGCTCAAGCCAGCGTCCACAGGACTGGCATACTGGCCAAGTTTCTGGCTTGCACCATGCCTCAGTTTCTCCAAAGTAAGAAGGAGATCAAAGTGACAGGTCTTATTAGATAGAACCGGGCCACAGAGGGTGACTAGGGAGCAGCAGTAGGTAGGAGAAGGACTGTTGGAGAAAGATGAGGGAGGTGCTAACAGTGCAGACAGCTTCTGACCAAGAGGAGTGGAGCAGGGGTCTCCAACTGGAGGCGAGGCCAGAGCACCAGGGGCTGGGGGTGCGAACTGCAAGGCAGTGGACTGAAAGTGGAGACTGGGGCAGGGAGCGCTTCCAGGGCTGGGGCGGGGGGCTGCCGGCAAGGGGTGCTCCTGGAAGGAGCTCCGGGAAGGCTGGGAGAGGCTTGACACGAAGAAGCAGAAGGCGGGGATCCGGATCGAGGCCAAGGCGAGCGGACCCCCGCCCACAAGGCGCCCCGACCCCGGGGAAGTTTCGGGTCTGGACCCGGCCAGTCTGCACCGCTGGGCCGAGCCCGCTGTCCGCGCACAGGAGGTTTGGGGCAGCGAGGGGCCCGGGGCGCTCCGCATCCCGCCCGCCCTCATCCCGCCCGCGCACCTCAGTCAGCGCCGGGCGCCGCGCGGGCCATGCTTGCCGCTCCTGCCGCCTCCTCCGCCCGTGCAGAAAGCCGCCGCCGCCGCCTCCTGCGTCCAGACCCGTTAGGTCCGCGGCTCTCGGTCTGCCAGCAGCGGGCCAGTAGCGCCCTTGCCTGGCCCTGCCCTCCCGAAGCACCGCCGCCTCGCCTCAGCCTGGCCCCTCCCCCCACCCCAGCCCGGCTGAAGGGAAGGGTGGGGGAAGGGGACGGGTGCCCCCTCCCCATTCACATCCTCTCTGTCTCGTCCCTCCCACCCCTCCCGCACGCGCGAAGTATTCTGGGATATGGAGTCCAGCGAGCGTTGGGCTGCCAGGGGCGCCCTCCTCAAGGACTACCACTCCCAGAGAGCACTGCACTTCAGCCCAAGGAATTGTGGCCTTTGTAGTTCTGTCGGTGCTCAAGGGGCGCAAGAGGCAAAGGGTGGAAAAAAATCTACGTTTCAGGAACGAACCGCCCCGGGCTGCTGAGGCAGAGGCTGTGGAGTCCGTGGTGCCTCGGTTTTGGGCCGGATACCTGAATTCTCAGAGCGGTGCAAACTAGCAGAGGATGCTTCTCAGATCCAATCGTGGGCAGCTGCGGCCGAGTCCAGCCAGGAAGGAACCGTTCCTACTCGCTCTGGCTAAGAGCCACGACCCCGAGCCAGATGGGTTCACGCCCCGGCCTTGCAAGCTGGACCTAAGCCGGGGCCGCTGCGCCCCGGCTGTAAAAAGAGCCCTCCCAATACGTGGGAGCGTGGGGTTTGGCCTCGCCAGACTTTGTGTTTCCCACCTGTGAATAGTGTTTGTGGGTTCCCTAGAGCCCTCGCGTACCCGCCCACCGGAGGGCATCTCATCTCGCTATTCCAGCCCCCCCCCCCCGACACACACTGTTTAGGGTAAAGTGTAAGTGCACACGCGTTTTAATTATTTTTCCATATCCCTTCTTAGCAAGTCTTTTCCCGAACTTTGAAACCTTTATAAAGCTCCCAGTCAGCCACAGTTTCGCCCTCCAGGTTTTTTCCCCACTGGCGAAGGGGAAGTCTGTAGGTCAGTGCTTCTCAAACCTTGCTGTGTAGTGGCTCCCCCTGGAGAGCCTCTGAAACGGATTGCTGATCCCTACCCGCAGTTTCTGCTTCATTAGGTCCGAGGTGGGCCTTAGCACGTGCGTTTCTAACAAGTTCCCCGGAGATGCTGATCTTCCTGGCCAGGCAAACCGCTTTGAGCACCACTGCCCTTGATGCTCCTTAGCTGCAGTTCTGTCATTGTCCTTCAGGAATGGCCCTGTCGTGGGACAATAATATTATCTGAAGAGCTAGGCTGTGGCAGGTAGGGTCTTAGCACAGTTTAGCACAGAAATGACTTTTTTTTGGTGCCGAGGATCGTACTAGGGACCTTGGGCTTTCGAGGCAGGCGGCAGAACCACTAAGCTAAATCCCCGGCCCCGGAATGACTTTTTTTTTTTTTTTTTGGTACCGGGGATCGAACTCTGGTCTTTGGGCTTTCGTAGCAGGCCGCAAAAACCACTGAGCTAAATCCCCAGCCCAAGGAATGTCTTTTAACAGAAAAAGAAGTGGTGAGCTGGGGATATAGCTCAGTAGTAGAGCACTTGCCCAGCATGGGTGAGGCTGTGGATTCAAACAAAAATACCTCTAGAACAAGGTCAGGTTCAGCTCAGTGGAATCTGCAACATTTGGGTGGGGAATGGTGTAAAACAAGCTGAGGGGAATGAGAGGTAGGAATAAATCACTGTCTTGTCAGATATCTGAGAACTAGATCCATCCAATCCCAGGCTATTACCCTGATGTGCTTAGAGCTGCAAACCACTGCATCAAAGCTTGGTGAGCACCACCCCCAGGTATGATGCTAGACTGTGTGTGTGTGTCTGTGTGTGTGTGTGTGTGTGTGTGTGTGTTGTCGGGAGTTAAGCATGCTAGAGCCCCAAGCATACTAGACAAAGGCTCTACTATTGAGCTACACCCCTAGCCCAGTCTTAGACTTTTCAGTTGTAAGGTGAACAAGATCCTCTCCTTGACCAAACTCTTAAGAAGTTTCTATTAAGCCCTCTTCTCAACCAGACCTCAATTTTGTGTAGGGGGTGAGGTGGGGTACTGACTGGGTATTGAACACTGAGCTACAACCCCAGCCCTTTTTTGTTTTTTATTTTTGGGGTTTCTGTTTGTTTTGGGTTTTCGGTTTTGTTGTTGTTGTAGTTGTTAGACAGGGTCTCACTATGTAGTTCAGGCTGGCCTTCAACTCACTATGTAGCCTAGGCTGCCCTTGAACTCACAGTGACTCACCTGCCTCAGCCTCCCGAGTGCTGGGGTTACAGGCATGCGCCATCAGGCTGGCTAAAAACTTTAAACACTAACAGTTTCTAAGAGCCCAAGGCCTCAGACCTGGGTGATGTACATCTATAGTCCCAGCACTTGGGGAGGCTGAGGCAGGAGGATCAAAATAAGTTCAAACCTGAACCACATAGTGAGACCCTGTCTTAAAAAACAGCAAAAAAGGGGCCAGGGATTTAGCTCAGTGGTTCTGCCACCTGCCCCGCAAGCACAAGGACCCGACTTCGATCCCCAGTACCCAAAAAAAAACACAAAAAAAAACAGCAAAAAAGAGCTCAGGCCCCATATCCGTAGGATGACCCTAGCCGTGCTTTAAGTGAATTCCTGAGAAAATTCAAGGCTGCCAAAGGAATTTTTTTGTTCTAGCCAACACCTACCTAACCATTCACTAAAATTGCAGTTGTGAATTCTTTTTCTTTTTTTGGGGGGGGTGCCGGGGATCAAAGTCGGGTCCTTGTGCTTGCACTTGTGCAGCAGGCGGTGAAACCACTGAGCTAAATCCCCAGGCCAACAGTTGTGAATTCTTGCTTGTGATTGTGAATTCTTCCTCTTTTTGAGACGTTTATGATATTTAAATCTCCTACAACTCTTAGGTATCAGTCACCTGGGGGGGAACCAAAATCCTCCAGGAAAGTCCCTGACCTATCCCTTACCAAAAATCTTTGCTTGTTCTTTTTTTTTTTTTTGGTACTGGGGATCAAACTTGGGTCCCTGCGCTTTTGAGTCAGGTGGCAGAACCACTGAGCTAAATCCCCAGCCCCTTTGCTTGTTCTTTGTACACTTGCTGCGTGACTGGCTTCCCCATTTGATCCCCATATAATTAATATTACCTAAGTGACTATACCTGTCATGATCTTATTGGTTGATCATAGTTTTGTCCTCCTTGTGATTTCTCACTGGATCAGTATTATGTAAGCGACTGTACTTGCAATCTTACTAGTTGACTATAGTTTTGTCCCACCTTGAACAGACCTCAGCTCTCAGCTTTGCCCCATAAAACACCTTTGAGAACCAGGATGGGCAAGGTACCCATTTTCTAGTCTCCCTTCTGTCTCTCCTAGACAGAAGCTATCTTTCTCTCAATAAATTTTTCCTGCTCTTAAAAATAAAAAATAGGGCTGGGGATTTAGCTCAGTGGCACCATGCCTGCCTCGCAAAGGCAAGATCCCAAGTTTGATTCCTGGAACAACAAAAAACATTTTTTAAATAATAAAATAAAATAAAAAATAAATCTCATACAACTCAAATTTCTCAACGACCTGAAAGCCATTCCTTTAAAATCTGATCATCAAGGATACAGCCTCTAATTCCCAGCCTCTATAGGGGGAAATAATCCTGACTTCATTAATTGCCTGCTGACGCTCACAGCTGAGCCCCTGCTGGCCACCTTCCCTGCCCCTTCCTTCCTTTAATGCACCAGTCATCTCTGTACACACGCATGCTGAGTGCCACGCTGGACGCTTCTGTATGGCAATAATGTATCGCAGATTAAAATCCACCCTTATTTCATTAGTATCTGGCTTGATTTATCTTTGACAGAGTACCTACTTTGAGTCCAAGAGGTACAGGATGTAACCTCCCCACCCCACCGGGCCCATTCACCCAGGGTCAAAAGAGCTAGTTATCCCTAGGTCCTTGGGCAAGTAGCCAGGTGGCTACCAGAGGCATTAGATCCACTCTAAGTTTGACTTGGGAATGCTTTTCTGTTTCCTTTAGATTTGTGTCAGGGACTAAGAAATTCCCCATAGCACCCCATGTTATACCCTGGCTCTTGTTGCAAAGGCTTTGCCCCTGTACCTATGTCAAGTGCAATGGCAACATTCCCTTATAGGCCTTTCCAAGTTTGCATCCGTCTCTCAAATTTCTGTTGGTAGATTACTCAGGAAGGATTTGCATGCTCTTCCTTCAGCAAGTGAGAGAGGATCTCTCTTCAGCTTCAACAAGAGCCCCCTATCATTACCCTAATTGAACCCTAATTGTAGGATTGGTTCCCCCATTTCTCCTCTCCCAATGTGCTTTCTGCCCATCTAAATATACCAGGCCACCCCAAGTCCATCTTGAGTTTCCCTTGAGAAAGCTCTAGCTCATTCATTTGAACGTTACCTTGTGAAGCACTCCTATTAGAGTCATTCATTTATAGGTTACCTTTGCTGGTGAACCGTCCAGTGCAGGTGAGGCAGCCCCACATGGCTGAGAGCACAGAACTTAGGAGGCAGAGCCACTAAGTAGCAAGGTGCAGAGAAGCAGACTCTCTCCTGGGCTTCTGTTTGGGGCACAGATCAGATGCTCAAAGTCAGACTAACTCAGCATCTCCCAGGCCTCTGTGTGCTCTAGAGCAGGTTACACAGTTTTGTGGGGCTTTTTTGGTTTTTTGGGAGGGTTTTGGTTTATTTGGGGGTTTTTGGTACTGGGGATTGAACTCAGGACCTTGCACTCGCAAGGCAGGCGGCAGCACCACTGAGCTAAATCCCTGGCCCTGGTTTTTAGGGATTTTTTTTTTTTTTGCCATATTGGGAATTGAACCCAGGGCCTTTGCACTGAGCTACAGCCTGAGCCTCCTTTTTTTTTTTTTTTTTTTTGAGACAGGTTCTAAATCTCTGAATTGACCAGGCTGAGCTGAAATTTACCATCCTCCTGCCTGCCAGTGCTACCACACTGACTTACACAGTCCTTTCTTCTGTAAAATTAGAATAAAAATAATAGATCCTACATTCTAGTGTTGTAAAGATTAAATAAGAGAATTAGCATGACCTTGGTTAGGAAGATTGTAAAAACCAAATCAGGTTGCCAGGCATGGTGGCACATACTTGTAATCCCAGCACTCTGGAAGCTGAGGCAGGAAGATCGCTGCAGGTTTGAGGCCAGCCTAGGCTACATAATGAATTCAAGGCCAGGCTGGACTGTATAGTGAG